GCCCTCCCCTCAAAAGCACCTCATTTGTGGGCAGGTTTATTTGTTGGGTTTACTCAAATAACCAGATTTGTGTCTGCCCCCATTGAGGCTTGGAAAACGGTGGGATCTGTGATGCTTCTGGCTTGGACTGAAGTTTCAAATGGAGAAGGCAGCGACCTCCGGGGCTGAGGGATGGACGGCATCCGCAGCTGGCGGGGGGGTCCTTCTTCAGGGGGGACTGTATTTTTTTTAACGACTTGAGCAATAGCTAATTGCCTTTCTTGAACAGACCAATAAAAAGAACTTCAGTTTTCAGTTTAAAAACAAAGGTGAAACTTTCTACTTAAAAGTGAAAGAAATGGGGTGGAAAAAATGAGGGTTTTGTGGAAAAAAAAAAAATCTCAGCCAAACTACAACCTGTGCCTTTTTTTAAAATGAGCCTTTTTCAGTGAAAAGTTTTTAATGAAAAAAGATATGAACCTTATTTATGGAGACACACTCATTGTGAAATGCTCTATAAATACCAGGTAATAATTTCAGCTGGATCACTTACAAATTCTGTGGAAATTCAAATACATATATATGTATATATATGCGTGTCTGTGTGTGTGTATATATGCACTATAAGAAGGGGCTGGGTGACTCCTCAAGGTCTCTTTTCCACAATTTCCTGACTATATTAATATACCAGTATTTTCTACAAATAGTGACCATACATCAAAAAAATTTCCAGCACACCTTTGCCTTTAGAGTTGGTTGTGGATTTTAAAATTGGTTGTGGATTTTAAAATTGGAAAGAACAACAAGCCCGATAGATCAGATCCTTAAAGCAGGAGTGTGCAGGGCACTGGGACAAATATATATATATATATATATATATGTATGTTTTGGCGTCCCCCTCCACTGTCTCCTTGATTTACTGAGTTCTCAGGAGTTGCCATTTCCACCTTTCCTCTGAAGTCCAGACTAATTTTTTTTTAATTTTACGTGAATCCTTCTCTCTCCAAGCAGCGCAGGGTGTGCAGGAGGGTTTCCATCGCCCATGGATGGATGCTTGGTACCCACTGAGGCCGCACTCAGCTGGGCTGAGCTCCTCCATTGGTGGCGACACCTCCGCCTCTTGGTTTGCTTTTTCTTTCCTTTTTTGTTTCTTCAAGGTGGAAAATGTCTCCGAATCCACTTCTGCCCACAGGCTGTGGGGATAATACTCATTTTTCTAACCACTTCAAAAGGTGCCCGATAACAAGCTGCAGCCCACACGTGCTCTCGCGGAGAGAAGCAGCGGCCGGCTGCGAAACGCAAGCCCGGCGCGTCCTACCGAGGGCAGCAGGTCCTTAACAGGGGGAAAAAGCCGGGATCCTGACTCTCCATCTTCATCACTACCCCAAAATATGCCCTGGCTGAGCCGCAGCCTCCCTACCTGCTCGCGGCCCAATCACTCCTGCTTCGCAGGTGCCCCTTGAAATGCGAATTATTGCTTCTGTTTAATAAAGTAAATCCAACCCCATCTCCTGGGAAGGGAAACAAGGAAGCTGGAGGGCAGCGGCAGTTTCCCCCAAGCTCTCCAGATGATGGTTTTTCCTTATTAATGCCCAATCTTGCAAAACATACTCTTAAAAAAGAAACGCCTGGAGCCTCCCTCCATGGCCTCTGCTGCAGGACCCCCCTGCTCTTGGCGCAAGTTGTGGTGGGACCATAGGACTGAGCGCAGTGGGGAATGGACCTCAGGCTGCTCCTGGTCTCCTCCGTGCTGGTAAACTTGGATCGATTTCTGGTGTGGTCATCCCTGACGGGAGACATGTCAAGTGAGAACCCACCAGCGACTGTCTCGGCTTCTTTGGCTTCTGCAGGAAACTCTTCTTGGAGAACGTACGCTCCAAGACCACAGACCAGACACAAAAATTCACGTTCTCTGCCATAAAATGTTGTTTGTTTTTGCCTTGCTGTTTGCGAGAGCGGCACTTAAAATGGGTGGGCGATCGCCGTGTGATCCCCTGGGTATTTCAGAACGGGCAGATGTATTTAAACCCCCAAAGGAAAGAGAATTTCCTCATGCTCAGTGGATGATTAGACTTTCTCTCCCTCTGCGGGGCTGGATGAGAAGTGGCTTCGGCCCTGTGGGGACCTGCTGGTCCCACCACTTTTTCGTTCATCCTCCTTGCAAATGCAACAAACCCCCTCAGTGCCGGTGATGGACAGGGGCCGGCACTCACCAGGACAGGGCGTACGGTGGGACGGGGCTGTCACCCCCCCAGGACACCGTCAGCCCCCCCCCCCCCCCGGCGCCTGCCTGTGATCCCCAGGGTCAGGCGAAGGGCGCTGGCGTGACCGCGCTCTGCCGGCGTGTGACTGCGGCGTGACCCGCCGATGGCGCAACCCCGTGGGGTTGTCCCTTCGGGTTCGCCCGTGCTCTCGGCTAAAATGTCTCTTCTCAGCTCTTATCTCCAGGGCGCTGCGTTCCCCGAGCCCCATCAAGCACCCCGATGCCCCCCCACCGGGGTACCCGCGGTGTGATGGCAGACGGCTGCCAACGGCTCGGCCGGTGCACGGCGTGGATGGGTGTTGCAAACCTGCTCATCGTCCCGTGGGTCTGCTGGCATTGCACCACCTCCCTGGCAGTTTCGGGGTCCCGTGGGAGCAGGGAGGAGCACAGCCACCCCCTCCCGTCCCTCTTGCCCTGCCAACACCTCTGTCCCCAAAGCCCCTCCGGGCTCTGGAGACATCTGGGCAGGCGCTGGGTCTGTGCCCAAAGGCACCACTGAATTGCCTCAGATGTCCCCTCCTAAATTCACATTTTTCATCTCCCTCTTTTTCTTTCCCCTCATCCCAGGGCCATGGTCACCTCTCTGGACAATCTGTCGGACCCGCTGCAGATTCCCTCTGCCTGTACCTCCCTCAGACGCTGGACGGCAGCTCCACCAGACCATCGGCTCCGCCACACTGGTTTCGACCTCTTCCCCGCTCTGGCATCCCCAGCAGCTCGGCACCGGGGTCCTGGACCACCGCAGTGGCACCCGCGGCTCCCAGGCTCGGGTGCTTTCCCTTACATCCCTGGGATGCACAGGGAAAACAAGGCAGCCGTGACGGTAGAGAACCCATGGCCGGTCCCTGCTCCGGGGTCAGGAGGCATCGCTTCTGCCGGCATCGGGGTTACAACGCCGGCATTGTGCCGCTGGCCGCGCAGGCACGGCCGCACGGCTCCACGCGGCCGGGCGCTGTGCACCGGCCATGGGCATTCCCAGAGCTCCCTGGCGCCGGCGAGGAAGGGCGAGGGTGAAGCTCAGACACAACCATGAGTTGTTCCTGGGTCATGACGGTTTTTATGGAGCCGATCACATGCCTCCTATCCCCATGGCTTCAGGCAAAGCCAGCATGGGGCTGGGTGCTGGGACTGGTGGTGGAGCAGGGTCACTAATGGCCACTCTGGTTTTGGGATGGCTGGGATGGCTAAAATGCTGCGTGCCAAAATGACACAATACATCGCAGACATGCCAGGCTGTGTGCTGTTAAGGGCACGACTTATCTGCTTTTAATCATCTCTCCAAAGGAATGGACGTTTTAGTCCCCATCGCCCCGTGCCTCGGTTTCCCATCCATAAAGTGAAAGCCCCATCCCGCCTCCCTGCCTTGCCCATAGTGATGCTGTTTGGGAAGCACCGACCACTGCGGCGGCTTTCCCTACGGAGCAGACCCATGGGTGCTAAAGCCCTTAATTTTGAATTTCGCTGGTGTCTGGGTCCTGGCGCTTGGGCTGCACAGGGGTTGTGGGGGGGGGTGCATGTGTGTGTGTGCTGCGAAGCCCCTCTGCCACACCGGCTCACGACACCGGAGCTGCACGTACAGCCACCCGCTTGCTTCAGGGACTTTCACATCTTTCTTAAAAGCAGCTCTTTGCTAGGGGTAAAACCGGTGGGTTTGCAAAACCAGCAATGCCTGGGTGGTTCTGCGGCTCGCAGGCAGCGGGGTTGCAGGCAGGCAGGGTGCAGGCAGCGAGGGTGCGAGTGCCGGTTGCTGTACCTGCGCTTTGGTTGGGAGCGTGCAGCTGCAGCCGGGCTGGCTCGTGGCTGGGGTTGTGTTTTGCAGGGGAGCATTAAGGCTCGGTGGCTTTTTGGGTTTGCCCTTGACTCGCAGCAATGCCCACAAAGCGAATCCAGAGCTTCAGGGTGGTGAGAGCAAGGGGGGAAGGTTTGGGGCTGGGGTCTCTGATTTTTTTTTCTATCAATATTATTATTGGCAGGAAATATTCATCCTCTGCAAGGTACCCTCTTGCCTCTAGCCAGCACGGAGCTCTCCCCGAACATGGAGGGAACAAACCCACCCGAAAGCTGACCCCACACTGAAGCTGTTTGGGAGAGCTGTGCACCAGGCTCTGAACAAGGGGGGGGTAACCATCCCAGAGGTGGATTAATTGCACGAGAGCTGCTAATCAATTATTTTTAAAACATGCCCATTCCTGAGCCCTGTTTTGCAAGTACAAATAGAACAGCGTCTTTAATCCCAGAAGCTCCCTCGATCAGTTTATATTCCCTCATACTTTCTATGAGGTAGGTGTTTCACCTCATCCTGGCTCCATTTCACAGCTCCCGTGGTAAAACTGCTAATGAAAAAGGACCCATTTTGCAAATGGATGTAAAAGGGCAAGAATTTAATGTGGGTTTGGTCCTCAGATCGCTCTGGAGCCTCTTGGGGATTTGGGGAGGAATTTTGGATCTCCACGAGTACCAGCAAGCACTAAATTATTGGGGATGTCTGTGATTCTCACCTAGATGCAAATAAATATGTGTAATTAAGTGTGTTGCCTGGGCTGGTCGTTAATCTCCCTGACAAACGCTGCCAGTGTACCGTGCCTAGGTAATGTATGGAATACCCAGCAGGTTGTAGCCCCATAATGCCCCTTACATCTGACTGCAGGAGCAACTGGGACCATTTCAATGTAAAACTCCACATGAGGACACAAACATGATTTGAGGGGGCAGGAGAAGAAATTTTATGATAAAAGTTGATTTTGTGGATCACGTGAGGATGACGACCAGGACCAGAAGCCCTGGCTACGCCAAAGGCGCTCAGGACCTCCTCTTCTTCATCCTGACTTTTCCTCATCAACCCCAGTGGCACCTAAGCCAGGTGAGGTCTGAGACCCCAACCCCTTTTCTGCAGAGAAGGAGCCACGAAATCCAAAAATAGCCTGAAAAAACCCTGACTATAGCCCAAGAGGCTTGTAAGGCTGAAGCAGGCAGGGGTGGCAAGCAGAATGCTGCTGGGCTAAGCCACCCCGCTCCCCTCTGGACCACAGCGGGGGCCAAGGGACTGCGTCCCCCCACTGCTGGGGAGCTGGAGGGAGCGATGCCACCGTTCTGGTAGAAACAACTTCGCTGCCTGTAGCCTCACATCCCGGGGTCGGAGCTGTGGTTGCGGTGGGTGTCTGGCAAGCAAGACAAGGCGATGCTGTTCAGTGCCACAGACCCCGCTCTGTGCAGCAGCGGGTGTTTTCCAGGCTGGGTTGCTTTTCCCTTTCCTTTTGTGCCAGCATTTGCACAACCTCTGCCCCCTTCACTGCTCTGAAACCACTTTTCCCCCCCTCTTTGCTTAAAAGCAGCAAACAAGCAGTTTGGAGCTGCAGTGAATATGAGCAGCTCTTTTTTTAAATTTTTTTTTTTTTTTTAATTTTTATTTCCCAGGCTCTAATAATGCTGCAGGAATCTGTAACGTCTCAGCTGGTAACATCTTGATATGTCTGACCACCAACATCCATCGGATGAAAAACTCAGCTAAGAATGACAGCGGTGAGCGGCAAGACGTGATGAACGCCAAACTCTCTAAATACCTTGAAATTGTATTTCTGTGCCCCAATGGCCACTGTCTTCTGCCTTGGGTCCTATTTGCCTGCGGATTTCAGTCACTCAGGCGTGGTTTGTGTTTGTTTTACTCCATCAGAGAGCTCCCTTTGCTTTTTCTTAGTAGGAGAAAAAAGAAAAGGACAAATATCATCTCATGTTTCAATTCTACATTTCTTCCCATTTAGGGAAAATTTGTCTCCAAGGGTGATAATGGCAATTTTCTATGAGAAAACCCATCAGCCCCAGGCGAGGCAGCGGCCGATGGCAGCTCCTATTCCAGGCATGAGCACCCGTTGGGTGCTGGCGTTTCTGTGTTCCAGCATCTTTAGGTGCTCCTGGAAATCTGCTGTGCCTGTATTACTGGATCAGCTTTATTCCTTAAAAAAAAAATTAAAATGGTCTGCTGTCATTTGGGCAAATCAGAAGGTCAGCCGTATCCGCTGCCTTCCTCCTCCTCAACAGCCCTCTCCACCTTCCCCGGTCCCCCCCCACAGCCAGCGCTGTTTATTCTGCTGCATGTGCTTCATATTTTTGCTTAATACTAATTCACATAAAATCCTTGTGAAGAAGAACCACCCATCTACACATATGGAAACAGTCTCGGCACGCAGTCCCCATACCCGGCTGGGAGTCGGAAAGCCATGTACAGCTCAAAATTAGGATACAGACAAGTGGTGAATGTGGGAGAAAAGGCAGTTAAAAGGAGAAAACCGCGGCATGTAAATTGGTTATTACTTCAATCACCCAATTAGGAATCTACGGGCTCTCTTCTTCGTTTCTTCTAAGGCAACAATATAATTAATTAAAGAGAAATGTCTCCTCTGCTCCCGTCTGTCACAGCCGTGAGTCCGAGCGAGCTTCCCATGAACCACCAACTACACACCATAAAATTATTAGTAATAAAAAATAGAGAGGAAAAAAAAAAAACTAAAAAAACCCAACCCCAGCACCCCGAAGCCGCAGCGATATCGCCGGCCCGTTGACGCCATGGATCAGGTGACGCCGCTCTCCCACCCAGCAGATGCCGAGCCGGCGGCTCTGCCGTGCCGACCACAGAACCACCAGCCAGCCGGAGGCTACCTGCACCACCGGTGGGGTTTTCCTCTTCCTCTCCCTCGTTGCCGCCTCTCCCATCCCTCCTCTTCCTCCTCCCACCAGCCAGCAGCTCCTCCAGGAGAGCCGAGGTACGGGACGAGGGGGATGGCATCCAACAGCATCTTCGACTCCTTCGCCACCTACTCCTCCGCTTTCCTACGCGGTGAGTACAGACCGGGCTCTTTCGTTCCTCGGCGGCAGGAAACGTCGTCAGGTTTTGTGTTTATTTTATTTTTTTTTTTTTAATTTTTTTTTTGCAAAGAAGCAAACCGGCAGCAGGCTCTGATGCGGCTTTGCTGGCACCTCGCTCCTTGCCGCTGCCCACCGGGGTTTTCTGCCGGCTTTGCGATGCTCCGGGCCACCGCTGTGTTTGTCCAGGTTTGGTGGGTGGTTTGCTCCCTTTTTTTTTTTGCCTTTTCCCACGTGGTTGCAGTGCTGGGAAGGGTCGGGGCCGAGTGGTGCTGGGATTGATTTGATGTGTTTGTCCGAGTCGTTAGCTGGGTGCTGGGTGGGTGCAGCCTGAGGTGCCATGTGGGGGGAGCAAAAATCTGCAGAAACATAAACTGCTTCTAAAGAGAAACTGGTTTACGATGGGAGAAGAGCTGGGGGAGATCAGGGCTGCTTTCAAGCTTACAGTTTTATATGTGTACTTATATAAAATACTCTAAATATGAAAACACACAGCAACTGTATATAGTGCTTTGCTAAATATATAATTCCGTTGAGCGATGAATTTGCTCAACCTGCTTTTCCCGGCCTCTCTGCACACCCCGGGACACGACGCTTTCGTCCCTCCCGGCTGCCTTGGGATGGGCAAACTGCTCGTCAGAGGGGGTCATTTCTCCCCAAATCTCTCCTCTGCTTGGTCCCAGCTCCCAGCAGGATCTCATGTCCCCCAAATTGAACCCACCTTCATTTCCCAACTGCTGTCCTCTTGCTGTAACGCCTCTGCAGCCGGGCTGCTTGGGGTGAACTGGGCGGGCTGGTGCAGACTGGAGCTGCTGGGACCGTGGCTCCCAGGCGGGTGCCGAGACCTTTTTGGGAAGGAGCTGGGTGCTTGCTAAGGCGTCAGGCAGAGCTCTGCAAACCCTTGCTTTTACCCATCCTGATGAGGTTCAGGAGCAAAAACTTGAGCTGGTCATGGCTGTGAGGACCCAGGTCCTGAGCGATGGCTCAGCACGTCCCACTGAACCCAAGCAGATCAGGGGAGGGCAATCATAAACCCCTACCCAAAGAGCAAAATTCAGCAGGTCATCCAGAAACGCATCACTGCAGATCGGATTTTGGTCTATTTTTGAGAAGAGTTAAGGTTACATGTCCTTTTGAGGCGGATCGGTGATGTCAACCTGCATCACGAAACCCCCATGGCTTTGAGTTTTCTTATGAGCAGAGGGTGTTGGAGATGTAGCAGAAGGAGCCAGGGATGGGGACGGGATGGGGATAAGGAGGGTAAATCCGGACCGGCTTCCTCAGCCCCATCATGGATACACCATGCCGGAGCGTAGGGCAAATAGGCAGAATAGCCACGTTCATCTTAATGCCCTCCGCTCGGAGATGGTGGCATTATAAATGTGTCCTTTGTACTTTGTGCAGCTAATTAAAGGCAGTCCCATGGCAAGGAAATAAGAGAAGTTTATAAAAAACATTTGCATGGCTCTTTTTAATCTATACTTCTCCCTCCGCAAGCCAGATGAAGAAATGCCGGGGTTTAACTGGGCTTGCTCATTTAAAAATAAAAAGAGAGTGAGCAACAGAAATATCACGTCTTGTATGCAATTTCCATACAAATAGGAACTCATAAAAGCAATAAACATCTTTGTTTCAGACATAATTTTTTATTAAATGGGGGAGAATTAAATGATTGCACCAAGGATGGAAGATGGCCAAATGGTGAAACATTTGTTTAGTATTAGGACAAGAAAACCTTGTTTTCTTTAAGGAGCTCAGTGTGTCTTCTCCTGCCTGGCTAGATTTGGGCGAGTACTGCAAAACATTCACGAACATTCATTTAAATTCCTCCTGGCTTTGGGGGATTCAACCGCATTCATAGTTTTTGTTTGCTTTTCTGGGCACATCCATGAAAATGGGTGTTTGTTTGTGCAAATATTTAAGGAATGAAACGAAAAATCCCAAAGGTATTCACTAGTTAGTCTGGAAAAGCTTTTTTCTTTTTTTTTTTTTTATAGAAAAGGGATTTTTCATCTTTCCAATGGGGCGGGCGAAGGAGCCCCACGTGGGAGAGCGGCACCAATCTCCGCTCGCACGCACCGGATTCACAACCGAGTAAAATATCTGGCGGGGACTGAAATAAATTTGCCTCCAGTGGATGGTTTTAGGGATATAAACCCCATTTTTGGCGGCCAGCACCGGCTTGGCCTGGGGGCTGCCTTTGCATCTCCTCGCTTCTCTTGGAGACTAGCAAGAAGTTGTAAGATAAACTGGGCTGAACTAGGGGAAATTCTCCCCTGCCGCTCCCAACGGCCGAACCCCGTGGTTGGTGCCAGCCCGAGTTCCCAGCGCAGCACATGGGACTGGACCGAGCTGCGGCCACGCTCCTCTGCGGGGCTGCCAAACACTTTCTATCCCTTCTTGCAAGGAAAAAAATAACTGCGTCGTCTTCTGCTCCATCCGAGCATCCCGTGGCTCAGCTCCTGGGTCCGGCCATGCCCTCCTGGGATCTCCGGTCCCGCCGTCCCGGTGGCAGCCGGTTGCTTCTAAGTCATCAAACCACAAATGTCACGTCTGTGAGTCAGTTCTTTGTTACTGATGGCTATCGAGCCGGGGAGGCCTACGCCACGGGGGCTGGTTTCTTTAACAGTTACTGCTGCATCTTGAGTGGAAACCTACAGGGACGGCCGTGGGGTGTGATGCTCCGTGGGGTCACCGAGGAAGGAGCGAGGTGCCGGCGGCTCGGATGCTCTCAGATCTTTCGGCTGAGGGTTGGGAGTTATTTTGCCTCGGGGTGAGCCCTGCGAAGGCTTGCTGGTGGCACGGGCTGGCTCTTCTGCTCGGGGTGTCCATGCTGGGCTTGTTCATCTCTTCCTAGCTAGGTGACCGATGTTTGACGTTTTTTCCTTGGTTTTCGTAACTCTAAAAGCACGTGGGAACAGCTCTTATACTCTCATTGTCCATGCACGCTCCTCGGTGAAAATGAAACGGTGTTATATCACTTTTTTTGCCTCTCCCTCCATCATGTCGGTGTCCTCGTGGGCAGCTGCCCTCCCACCCACAGCCTTCCCCAGCTGGCTTCATGCCCTTGCATGGGAGGCAAAGGGCACAAAGCCTCGGTCCTGGCATCTAGGGAGAGAGTTTTACTGATTATTTTGCAAATGCACAAACGTAGGCACGTCCTCAGCCCCGTTTGGCCGTGATGCAGTGCTCAGTGCTGCCCCAAAGGAGCTGGGATTCATCCTCAGGTTTAGTCCCTGTTTTGCTGCCCTCCAGGTCCTCACCCCCCGTTCCTTGTGGGAAATCTCCCCATCTCTGCACCTTCTTCTCTGCTTTGCTAAAGCGATCGGGCGGTTCATGTGGGAGCCTGAGGGTCTCTGCTGACCCTTCACAGCCTCGTTAGCCTAACGAACAGCCAGGGTTTTGCCTAAAGTGGGGAGCAGGGGGGGCTCAGAGGGTCTCTGCGGAGCTGCTCAGCACCCAGGGAAAGCAGCGGGGTTGTGGGCCCATGCAGGGCAGCCTTGTCAGGGTGGTCTGAAATCCCACCGAGAACATCGTCTGCCCCATGGGGGAAGAAATGAGCTGTGATGCCGTGGAGGACCCGTCCCATCCCCAAAACGTGGCAGCTTGGGTGGACAAACTGACTTCTCCTGGCCCTGGACCCGTCCCAGCAGATGCTGGAGGAGGAGCAGGAGGAAAACCTGCGGTGGCAAAGCCGGTGCCAGTCACCTTTGGCTTCTGAAAGTGGGTGATGCTGACTGCCCTGATGTGGTGGCTGGCTGTCATTTCTTCTCTGGAAGGTCGCTGAGTTCGCGCCTTTTCCCCATTTGCCACAAGCATGGATTAATCAGAGGTTTGCAATTGCTGGGTTGGGGCTGTGGTCTCAGGTTGCTGCCAGAGCTGGTGCATCCCGGGGCACGGAGAAGCTGCCCCGGTGCTCCGGCCGTATCCTGGTGTTCTGGCCGTTCCCCTGCACAGTGCCTCTCCTCACTGGACCCCCAGGTCACCAGCAGGTTTTCTCTCCTGCCAGGGCGGAGGTGATGGCCCCAGCTCACCCAAGCAGAATTTTCTTTTTCCACCCTTCCCATAACTGGCCACGGCAGGATTCCCGCTCGGCAAACTTCCTTTTAATGGATTTCTGTGTTTCTTCCTAACCACCGAAAACTGTAACCCTGACAGTATTTCGAGTTGTTTTTTCCTCCTCCTGCCATGCCGTGCTCTGGGCAATGCCTCCAGCGGAGACTGGGTGAGCGGGCGCCAGGTAACACTGTGCATGTGTAATGGTGTCACTGAGCTTTGCCATCGTGTTTCCCTAAAGGCAGGTGTTTTGTCTCATCCTATAGCACCCAAGGTGATTTTTTGTTTTTTTATATATGGGCAACCTCAGCTCCCGGCCAGCACAACAGCAGTACATCGCAGCTGGATGTGATGATCTGCAGTAATCGGGCGCTGGGGTGAGAGGCGTGAGCACGTGGACCATCCCTGCCCACAGCCAGATACGTTATCTGTGTCTGCGGGTGGGAGAAGCGAGACACAGAGCCTGTGTGCTGGGGAGAGGAGGGATGCCCCTGGACACGTCTGCATGCCCATGAGCATTGCAGTCTCCCTGAACGTTTGCTCACCTATGAGCTTTGCACTACCTGTGAACATTTGCACACCAGTGAGCATTGCAATACCCACAGCTGTCTGCATGCCCATGAACATCGCAATCCCTGCAGGCATTTGCATGCCCGTGACCATCGCCATACCCATGGCTGTTTGCACGCCCGTGAGTGTTGCACACCCAGGAGCTCTCCTACGGTCACGGCTCAGCCAGCGCCTGCTCTCACCCAGCACCCCGAGTCCCTGCACCCCTTTACCCCTACGCAAACCCTCTCTCTGCCCCCCCCAGCTCCCTGGGGCAGAAGGACACGGGGAGCCCCAGTGCCGCCCCGGCCCCACACACACGTGCAGCACCACGTGGCCACGAAATCTGGTTTGCCTTCATTCATCCTC